TGTGTGTGTAATTTGCAGCACTAATGCTGTGATACATTCAGCGTGGTAATGCATCTGTTTCGGTCGCAACCACAAGCTTACACACTACGAAATGTGACACTCTTTACCAAGCAAGAAGGTCCTAATCGTGAGGACCAAGCAGAGAACAGAACAATGTGGAGTTCATTGATCCTTTCCACCCCCGCGCCCCCAAAAAAATGTGCTTGTTTTTTCAGAAGGAAAAAATCTTATACTGTACTTTATAAAAATGAGTAATGACCGCGAGGCAGTATAATAAACTCGTGCAGACAAATGAAAAAGTAGCACTTCTTCTTCTCCTACTCCTGTAAGTGATTCACGAAGATATTTGTAATTTTTCATATTACGGATATTATGTTGCCTGTCTACACGTGTTGCTCCACCGTTTGGGTTCAAAAAGCCATTACCTAAAGGATTCTAGAAACCTCGATGCCAAAGCTGTTCATGAGCTAATCTATGTCCTTTTGCATTGTGTGTGAGCATTTTGCAAAGCAGACGTTGTTTGTTTTAAATACAGCATGTATGATTCTTTAGTTTGATGTTTAGTTTGATGGTAAACTTGACCCGGTCAGGTGAGGTCCACATGGCAACACATAGAAATCTGTAATCTGATTGGGCAATTGCATCTCTCCGCCTCCTCAGCAACGTCCGATCCAGCAGTCCTTGGCGTCGTCCCTCTGCCGGGAGTCCCACTGGAAGTGCCTCCTTCTGACCCTCCTGATGTACGGCTGCTTCGCCACACTCATCTGGTGCGCCCTGTGCCGCGTGCCGGTGCTCAGCTCGTCGCCGGTGCGCGTGGCCGCCGCCGACAGCAACTCCACCTCGGCGGCCTACTACAATGACGTGCAGCGCCTGGAGAGTCCGTGCTCCAGCGGCTACCTCTACATCCCGCTGGCCTTCCTGGCAATGCTCTACGTGGTCTACCTGGTGGAGTGTTGGCACTGCTTCTCCAAGACGGCCGTGTTGGCTCACGCCGAATTCCAGGTTTGTGCAAGGCGCATCTGTTTGTCGCTCAACGACGTCGCCGTTGCTATGATGGGCGGCATGAGATAAGCCAGGGGTTTCAAACTCATTCTTGTCGCGGGCTACATTTTACTTACCGTTTCCCTTGAAGGGCCGTTATGACTGAAACCAGATCAAGAAATCAACAGTTATTGTTGACTTCTTGATCTGGTTTCAGCTCATGCTAATTTGGGAAGTATTTTATCATTTTGATGCGGTATTCGGTGTGAAAAGTTTGAAAACCACAGGAGTCCTTGAAAAGCAAATCAGACCAAGTGACTTTGTTTGTTCACGTGCAGGATGTGTACGAGCGTGTGCAGCGCCTCCAGCAGGCCACGCCCTGCATTTGGTGGAAGGCCATCAGCTACCATTACGTCAGGCGGACCAGGCAGGTGACAAGATACCGCAACGGAGATGCGTACACTACCACACAGGTGAGTGAAACGGCTCCATCTAGTGGTAAGCAAAAGAATAGCTGAATTCAATGTTCAAACTGGGCATCATGTTCCGGTGGTTTCATATACTGTATATGTATATTTTTTTAAATCCAGAACAGTACAATAAGTACCGTCCAGTTGTATTTAACTTTGCCATCAAGAGTTCAAAACGTTTGTTTTTCAATTCCAGTTACAGTTTTGGCTTTTCCAGGTCTACCACGAGCGGGTCAACACTCACGCCTCCAGCTCAGAGTTTGACTATGCCCGCTATGGCGTCAAAGATGTGTCCAAGGAGCTGCTGGACCTGCAGTTGCACTCGGCGGTTCGCCTCCGCTTCACAAAGTGCTTCAGGTGAGGGCCACCGTGTGGGATTTGTAGACTTTCTTTTCGTTCGTTGCAGTTTCTTGTGAAAGATGACCAGTTTTTCCCCATTCTCAGCTTTTCCAGCGCACGTGCTGAGGCGGCCTATCTCACCCAGGTAAGTGACAGACAAAAGCAGAGGTTGGGGGGCGCTTGAGTCACGTGACTTAAGTTGAGTCACGAGACTGACTTGATGGATGTGACTTGATGCGAGTCACATGATATGACCTGAGTCAGACTTAAATCAGAAATTTTAGGTTTTGGAACTGGGATGGCTAAAACCTATTAGAGATCAACTCGCCTTTGCATTGGTTTAACCGACCATGTTTTTACTCAACCCGTTTAAAATGTATTGACTCGACTTGATTTTTTTTTCTTTGAACTTAAAGCCTTGAGAAAATTTTAAAGCATATCAGTCACGTCACAATTTCTTAACTCAGTTCTTCTTCTTGCCCGAAGCGAGCACGATTCTTCGGCGAGAATGAGGGCCTGGATGACTACATGGAGGCCAGGGAGGGGATGCACCTCAAGAATGTGGATTTCCGCGAACACATCTTGGCATTCCCTGACCCCGCCCACCAGCCGTGGTTCTCCAGGTACAGGGTGTTCTGGCTGGCCTCGGCTTTCCTGCTTTCGTGGCCGCTGCGCGTAATGTCCGAGTACCGCACGGCCTACGTGCATTACCACGTGGAGAAGCTGTTCGGGGAGGACGAGGATCTCGGCGGAGGGGGCGGTTGTGGCGCCGGCGGACCGGGAGGGGGCGGGAGAGGCGAAGGGGAGACAGAGAACGGAGGGGTGGGGATCGGTTTGAACGGGTCCAGCTACAGGGCCATCTCCCGGGTCAACACGGTGGACATGACAGAACTGGAGTGGCACATCCGTTGTAACCAACAGATGGTTCCCAGCTACTCCGAGGCCATCCTGATGGACTTGGACACGAGCGGGGCGACGAACGCCGCCGCTTTCACGCCCGTGTCGGGACCCCCGGGCACTGCCCCCAACCTGGAGGGGAACCGGCCTCCCTTGGCCCTGCCGGTGGCGTTCAACTCAACATACCTCCTCCAGAGCTGCCCTCGATGTCGACGGACCACATCCAGCTCCAGTCTGCCCTCCCGACTGAGAGCGCCCATGGGAACTACGGCCCTGCTCAACGCCACCGTGGCGGGCTTGAGGGCGGCCGGGCATGGCGGGGGCAGGATCGGGGGCCGGTTGGTTCTCAGTCGAAGCGGATTCTCCTTGGGAAGGCTCGGAGGAGGGAGGCGGAACAGCCTGCTGCATTCGCGCAGCATGGGCGGCGGCCTGGCAGGGAGTCGAGAGGAAGGAGTAGCAAGTGGAGTCGGGGGCGGGGGCGCGGGCGGCTTCCTGGGCTTGGGATCCAGGCAGGACGATGAGGAGACCCGAGGCGTGCTGGAGGCAGAAGGCGACGAGGAAGACGAGCAGGAAGTGGAGGTGGAGGAGAGGAGGGGGGAGGATGGCGGGAGAGAGAGGGACGAAGAGGCTGAGGAAGACGGAGGCGTGCCTGAGAGGGATCGTCCACCTTCTTACCAGGATGCCTTCTTCTTCCCCGTGCTTATTATCCACGGCGACGAGAGCTGCCATGCCGGGGACCACCTCTGAGCCCGCACGACACTTTGGAATGATGCAGGTTGTGTTTGGAATCACTCGCTATTCCCGACTTCCTAATCATCTGTACTACAACAACCGGTAATCATCTGCTGTGAATGGAATTTGCGATTCATTGACCCCTCGCCCGCATTTTATCATTGCCTATAGATGCCACAAGATGATAGAAAAGCACTTTTTTTCTGTTAGACAATGCTATGGCCGAACTCTTCAACATGCACATTTAAAAATGCTGGGTTGTTTTCCACTAGATTTTGCAGAAAAGCACTTTTTTCTATTAGACAATGCTATGGCCTAACTCTCCAACATGCATATTTAAAAATGCTGGGTTGTTTTCCACTAGATTTTGAGCAGACTGGGTTACTCTCACCCAAGATTGGGTTCATTATTTTGACCCAATAGATTGGGTTGGTGATTGAATTTGCGTGGGCTAAAGGGCTGAAACTGGTCACCCCTTTGGGTGGTGTGTTCTGAAGTTCCTCAACCCAATGTGCTGGGTATAAATAACCCAGTCTTGGCTCATTCCCTTTTGGACCCAGCGCTGCACTCCATAAACTGTTGGGTCAAAAATAACTCAAATTGGGTCAAAACAAGGAAGGGACCAACTCAACTCTGGGTTACTTCAAGAGCACCCAATTTTGTGAGTTGTTTAGGACAAAACAACCCAATTTTGAGAGCTTGTTTAGTCCACCACCACCCAATTTTGTGGTTTCTGTATAAAACGATGATTATTTTTGGGGGGCGGGGGGTTGTTTTGTGGGTTATTCATTTTACCCGACTTTTTGGAGTCAAATGTACAACTCACAAAGGTTGCTTGTTCCCTTTTTGATCCAGCTGGGTTTATTTTTGGCCAAACTTTTTTGGTTGCTATTTCATCCACTTTGGGTTACTTTTAACCGAGCAGTTTTAAGAGTCTCGCACCGAAGCAATAGTTTTCTATTAGGCATGGTTTCGCCTGAGCACAAAATCAGTTTTTCAGCAAATAACGGAGGATAGGTTCACCCCCGCCCCCCGCCCCCCCAAAAAAAATGCAAGTGCTGGGAGTGATTCCAAACACAGCTGAAAAGAGAAGAGCAGAGCTTACTTTTAGATCAATCTATGCAAGAGCAGGAGTAGGATGGGACCCACAACGTTCATCCACGATATTGACTTACATGGTCATGCCACCCGGAGTCCAGTTCTTCCACACCAAACTCATCCAGGCATACCTTTATGGACTGATGGAACACAAAAGCATCTGAAAAAGAAAGAAAAAGCCCCAAAAGATTCTACTACTTCCTCAATTTGGAGAAAAGCCCGAAGGCTCAACAAGTGCGTGCACATCACCTGCGACGCTATTTAGATGAGCAATCCGAGCACCCCCCATCCTCCGCTCCACATGTATGTAAAGCACACACACGAGACATTGACTAATAAGCAACATAAATGAAGATGGAGCTGCACAAAGGACTCAAATCAGCCACGATGAGATGAAATCTGACATCAGTAAAAGCGAGTATTTTTTCTTTTTTTTTTTTTTTTTACAGCTGTGCACCATCCCAAAAGGAAAACCCTAACTATTTTTCTTATGATTTGATTGTACTGATGGGAAGCACTTATACGATACAATATTCTATCTATAATCAATAGTGTGCATCTGCTGTAACCACTTGGCCACTTAAACGCAACCATGCTTTGACATTTCAGTGCGAGCCATGGCTCCAAAACATGGACTGAGTCAGCGAGTGCACTACTTTTCTATTTACCGACATCGTCTTGGTCGACAGAATGCCTTCATAGGTGTTCCACGCGGTCGCGCACACTCTCCGAAGCACGGAAATGTTCTCCTCTGTTGCCTTCATGTCTGCTACTGCTTCAACTCGGTTTCCGTTTTTGACAACCAAATGTCCCGGAAAGTGGATGTGCACTTGGGAACACAAAGCAACATAAATGTGACATAAAGAGTGTTTGAGGTTAAATCACAAATAACTTCATGAAATTTACGGAACTCGTGAAAAGGGAGCTGTGGTCGCTAGAGGGCAGCAAAGATCTTTTTTAAAAAGCACTTTCAAGGGGAAGTGAGGCCACTGTGACTCAGACAGGGTACAAAACACCTCAAAATTTGACGCTGTGGAAAGCTATTTGAGCATTTTATTTCGTTATTATACTTGGTATCCATCTTAAAATACAAACACGACTATGCACTTTGTCTTACAAGTGGCACTACTGTTTTGAAATGCTATTAATTTGCCATTACTGTAATTTAGTCCAGCCTCCTGAACACCAAACAATATGCCATATTGAAATAGAGTGTAAATACACCGTTTTGTCACATTTTTGTTTTCAATGGAAGTTGTGCTGCTTCTTCTGGTGTGTGAAATGGCCAGCTGGAGGCAGTATAATACAAATATTGATATACATGGAAATGGTCACGACTCCTCAATAAACGGCAATACTATTTGGCCCGATGCTAATTTTTCCCCGTTTATACCGTTTGTGCAGTCTTGGTTAGCATTAAGCTAACGGACTCTCAGAAGGCCATTTATTTTGACAGGAAACGACAAACAGCTTGAAGAATCTTTTTTAAAGAAAAGTTCAAAGTGTTACATGTGAAGTGAGTTGTAATGCTCAAATGGCTTTCGATTGTTGACCGTATTAAAGTCCATGTTTTTGTCTTTGACATACTAGTAGGACAACTACATGTTACTAATGAGGCAACTGCACGCTACTAGTACAACTACGGTACTGATATTTAAAAATAAATCGACTAGCACTTCAGGGATAGTAATACAGTAGTGCCCACAGACATCAACTAGTGACCAGTTTTGCACACGCTGATGAGAAGCACGTCGTTTGTCCTGGGCAGCTGATCCACAACACAAACAAAAAGCACTGTGACGTCACTGACACGGAAGAGCAATTGCAGCGGGCCTGACGGCAAAAGCAACGATGTGACTCAGCTGGTGTCGATGAAATCAATGCCATCAACGGTGTATTTTTTTAATAATCTTGAACGAGTCTGCGACCATGTGACCAGTGCAAGATTCGCACATTGTTAAGACAAAACTAGCAGGGAGGTGACTGAATGGAATCAAATCAACTGCAGCAATATGCGCTAATTGGGTGCTCGTGTAAACACGTGATCGTCCGACGCTTACAATGACGTTGTTGCGGATCATGCCAACAAACATACAGGATGCAAATAAAGTCTGCTTCATAAAAAGTTCTTTGGTGTTGATACTATATATCATTTCACGTTCATTGTTTAAACTGCGCTTATTTACCTAGCGCTATACATGACGTCACTGTTTTCCCGTCCTCTGATTGGTTGGGCTGAGCAAAACTGTTGAACGGTGGTATGATGTGTATATACACACACACACACACACACACACACTGTCAACTGCTGCAGGTGAGACTTGGTACAGTTGCGCTTTTCTGAAACTTCGATGTGATTATCATGGATTAAGTCTGCATTGATTGAAGGGCCATGGAGCCAATGGAGCCATGAGTGTCACTCCACATGATCCCGGGATGCTATTTGAAGCTCGATAGACTCGTCTCCTGCACGTTTTGGGGACAAGGACGGTGGAAAACATGTGTAATGACTTATTCCGACTGGCTTGGCACTAGCCGGGCTCAGATTGGTTGCAGATGGGAGGCAAAGCAGTAGTTCCTTGGTGCGTGTTTATTTTTTTTCCCACTTTACGAGTGCCACTGGACTCCCAAGTTACAGCACTAAAAGGCGCAAATAGAACTGGTGAATGCACCTGAAGTAGTGACAGCTCAGAGGGCCAGACACTGTTTAGCAGGTTGTTTGCATTTGCAAGCAGAAAGTAGGGCAATTACTCCTTTTTCAATTATTTATAAGCTTTAATAACGCCAGTCACTTTTGGAAGTTTAATCTCTGTGAAATATTCATGGCTTTGAAATTGAACGGTTCCAGGCTGCGGGCTCCTTTTGCAACCCCATCCCCCAGACCTCCTTGTGTTTGTTTTATACTGACAAGTCTTGAATGTGGTTCCTGGTTTGGAGAAAACGCAAGCCTGTGTGATATATATTCACGCTGACAAACTCTGTCATATGCCTTGTGGACAAAGGTATGTGTACACGAGTCAATATCACCATAATGTCAACGTTATCATTGTATTATCCATCCATTTTCAACACCGCTTATCCTGAGCAGGGTCACGGGGAGGTGGAGCCTATTCCAGCTGACTTTGGGCGAAAGGAGGACTACCCCCTGAACTGATCGGCAGCCAGTCGCAGGGCACATAGAGAGACGAACAACTGTTCACACCCACATCCTCACAGTCGCTGAGTGGGAACCGATCCCACGCTGCCTGCACATTCAGGCAAGTGTACCACGACACGATCAGCGACATCATTGTATTAAATAGATGTCATCCTGTTCGGAATGCATAAAATTCAAGTTCAAAATTAACATGCAACCAGCAAAGTGAAATCGCTCACAGGGTGCATAATGACACACAATGATTTTTGGCTAATGTTAGAGTTTCACGAGTACATGGTGGATCTCAGAGATTGATTGTCTTCCATCAACTGACAGAGTATCTCTATGAGAGTGCGAACTTGTTAACTTTGACAACATCCGACAACACACCTTCAAGTGCAAATATTTATTCTGCAACTATACACTCTTTCAGCCTTCACCAAGGAAAGGCAATGAGCCGGTCATATTGCCACCTAAAGCATGAGAAACCTTTGTAAAGAGGCAGTATACCTCATAACGACACGGTGAACAGCAATTTCAGAGACACATATAAAAAAAGTTCAATGTGATGATGAAAATAGAATATACATGATCAAACAGCAAAATGTGTGAGCATGCTGACAGGTTGGATAACAACAGGGTGGACATTTTTGGCTAATTTTAGCATTGAATGAGCACATGGTGGATCTTCACTTCGCCGTCACCTAACAGGCTGACTGCAAGTTTTTGTCTCAAATGATATTTGTCGGTGCGAGGGTGCACATGGCAAGCTTGACAACATTTATTCTGCAACGACCCAGTGTTTCCCTTGAAAACATAATGGTGGTTGTATCACTGAAAACATCAGGGGGGAATTTTAAAGGGCCGGTGACACCAAACGGACATGGTGGACAGTCTTGTAATTCTGTCCACATCATTTGCAGCAATATGACGTCTTTGTTGGGTGCCTCGGAAATGTTTCCTTGATGGGAAAATGAACAAATGATGGCAGGGTTGGGGAGAAAACAATCCCACTCCCTGCTTGAGCCATTTCCCATCATTCCTGCACTCGCCTACTGTGCACGCCACCTATTCCAGCCACACTATACAACAACGGTAATCACTCCCAATAAGACCAAGGCCCATTTGCTAACAGTCCACTGAGTGACAGACGGGTGTATGATCAGGGTAATTGCGGAAATTAGACATCTTCCCCTTTCAGACCAAACATATCATTTAGGGAGTGATCGGAGCCGCATCTCAGCCTTGCATGCTCATGGCTTTGATTTACACACGAGTGGTCCAATAATAACCACGCTTAAGGCGCACATTTGCAATGACAGGCTTTTGTATTCCAGGTACAAAGTAGATCTCTCTCTCTCTCTCTCTCTCTCTCTCGATATATGTATATATATGTTTATATATATATATATATATATATATATATAAACACACATGATATTTTGGGGGGAAATAGTGCATTTCTTTGCAGAAAGTAATGAGACGCCTCTCACTTCTATCAGTAAGGATATCCTGGACAAATCCCATCATGCTCTGCGTGCAGTTTCCAAGCAACACAGCCAGTCATGGCTGAATTACAATATTACACTGTTCCCAGTCGTCTGAATTACTTCTTGGCTCCTCGGAATGCATTAGTGAACAGCAGAGGTCCATAACAGAGCCAACAGGTGTGCTGTGTATATATACACAAAGCTTTATATTATGATGATGGGTGGATGCAGCAGTGGAGCGCAGTGAGCTATTATCCGCCTTATGTTTATTTACGAGCAGCACAACTGCTGAATGGCTTTTTGCAGGTGCCGCAACAATTGGATTTGGTATTAAAAGGACGGCGGGCGCAATCGGTCGATCTGCTGCACAAGCACTCCCGAGTGGTTTCACTGAGGACCTGGAGTGTCAGTCAGTCTCTTTTTGACGTAGTGGCACCGCTATGAAGCTGACCTGAGGAGGGGTTGGGGGCGGGGGGGTGTCGAAGGGCACGGCGCCGGTGTTTTTCTGGGTTGCCATGGCACCCGGAACCTGTTTTGTCCTGAAATGACCATTGGAACTGCAACGGTTGACAACAGTTGCTTTTCAGCGGCTGTACTGTATATTAAAGCACTCACCATTTTGTGGGCTATGCTATACGCCATTTGAGCATTTATTCCCTACCTTTGATATCCACGTACTTGTACGCTTCGGCCTCATTAGCAAGACGATTCAGCGCCCTAGTAGAACAGCTGACTTATTCGAGTCAGACCACTCAATGCTGTTTGAGCAGTCATTCAATATCAACCTTATCCAATTTAATGGCCAAGTACGAGTCATCTCTGTCCCTCACGAGTACGACAACATTGGCGTAGTGGTGGGAAAACAAACATTCCGCGTCAGGCCTACAACTAGGAAACTATATTATCTTCATCGTGAAGATAAGGGGCGTCCTTGTACTTGTTTTACTTTTTTATTGTGTTTAAAAATGCACATTTCTATTGTCCAAAAGACCAAAAAGAGATGCACCAGTTGAGTGCGGTGTCTCCCAAATCACCTTGTAATGTTGTATGCCCAAGTGCCATTTTTTTGTCATGTGGGCCCATCTGTATTTATCAAGCTCCTCTGCGCGACTGAGAGCACACGCTACCATCTTGATAGGAGTGCAGAGTCCATGTAAATGCCAAGTGGCACTCGGCCATGTTTGTTGCCAGGCGGTGAAATGTTAAATAAGGACACCGTGTGTTTGGACTGGTAATCAACACAACGGAGCAGAGGACAGAAATTATGTGGTGTCAAACTCATTACTCAGCGCGGGCCAACATCGTAGTTACGGTTTCACCTCATCATTTTGTACATAACCAGTGAGTCTCAAAGGTTGAATGCTTTTCATCTTTCATTTTTACATCTCAAATGATCTTTGCCCACTGAAATGAATGGAAATGCCATTCATCTGTTCCGGTCTTCCCTCAACTCAACTCAACTGTATTTATAGAGCACTTTCAAACAGCCATCGCTGCATACAAAGTGCTGTACATGGAGTAATTCAACATATACAACAAACAGTAAAGCAAATCGGTAATAAAGACGGTAGAAAGCACCGAACAGCAAAACCAAGAACAAATCTAAGTCATGCTGAGTCAAATGCCAAAGAATACAAGTGAGTTTTGAGGTGGGTTTTGAAGATGGGCAGCGAGGAGGCTTGCCGAATGTTCAGTGGGAGGTCATTCCAGAGAGAGGGACCAGCAACAGAAAAGGCTCGATCCCCTCTGAGCCTCCGTTTAGTTCTTGGTACTTCTAATAATGTCTGGTCCGCAGACCTGAGGCGCCCTCCCAAAAACAATGAAAAATGTGTATTTTTATGAGGAAAAATAGCACTCTTTCCTAGTCTACTTCATCACAACCATTTTAGAATTAAAAGTAATTTGACGGTTTTTGTCACACCTCTCATCAGGGTCACACTAATATTTGTCATTCTTCGCATAGGATAAAGAATATATGACGACTGCTGCATATGAATATTTGAGTACTCTTACATTGTTCATGTACATGCGATGATTCATTTGCTGTGTTAGTGTTAGCATGAAGCTAGTGGACTGAAAAGCTAAGCTATGTGGTTGTTTTCTATACACAAGGCATAATTCTCTTTTTATTTATGTATTTATGTATTTATTTATTTATTGACAGTCAAATTTAACTTGGAGTGGCAATTTGTAAACAATTGTTGACTATTTGCCAAAGTGCTGCTGACTGCGAAGAGAGTTGAGTTGACTTCATTGCAGAAATCGGTTTCAGATTTTCTGGTAAAATGAAAAGAACAAATCCATTTCCCAAGACACATGAAGTACACACACTTCATTTGCTTTAGTAGGACACAAACATAATAGGGTACACCGGCTCTCGCCCCCAGGCCTTGAGTTTAACACCTGTGCTGTTGATCAACCGCCAAGCAGCGTTGTTGTTCTTGCTATATTTGTATGCTAGTTGTGCTCTAAAATGAATAATTCAGTTTCCCCCTCTGGAGCAGTTCGCAGCTAATTAACAAAGAAGCGTGGTGCCAGGACCCGGGAGTCACTAGTGGATGTGACGCAGGTTCTGTGAGTGATTCAGCCGGCGCGTGAAGCAGGGGAGCGATCCGTCTCGGATTTATTGACAGTGCTGCTGCACTGACGCCCCAAATCACTGATGCATCATGGCTTGATTAATTGGAGGCCGGACAAGGGGGAAGCCTCGCGGATCAGTTAATGAAACTGCAGAGATAAAAACCCCACCCACACTGATGACTCTTGCCAACCGGGCCATTCAACCGAAGCTGCCACCGTCCCAAAAAAAAACCCCGTCTCATCTGTCTTTCTGTATGCACTTCTTTGACTCTCCGTCTGATCAAACCACGCTCCATCTGCACTCTCACTCTCAATTAGCGCTGTTGTTAGGGGAGATAAATACGTTTGCTACAGCTGCACCACTGTCCAAATTTCCCCGGAGGAGCAATTCTCAATGAGCCGATGCATCAGAGAAAGTTTGGAGAGAAGACGAGGATAAAGAGGCAGGCTTTTATACACCAGGAACAGCTGAGAATAGCTTTGAAGCTTGATTTTCAGTCATCAAGGCTTAAGATGTGTGCAGTATGTACTGTTTTGTCTAAGCAATGATGTGATTCAGTGGCGGGCCTTGAGTTTGGTACCTGGACCCTCAGTGGGGGCGTGCCTGACCGAACTACTTCACCGTCGAAATGATCGAAAAATGTCAGCGAAAAGAGGTTTTGCTCCAAGCAATCAGAGGATAGTAAAATGCTGACACGATTCAGGACCAGCATGCTGGGCTCTGGATGATAAATTGAAAGAAATCTGAATCTATTTCATGCAACGGTCCATATTGCTAATATAGTTGAACAAAAGGTGTCCAAACTATGGCCCGGGAGCATTTGTGGTCCGCCGTCCATTGTAAGCGGCCGGCAGCATATACTAAAAATGACATTTGCTACTAATAAATGTCTTTTATATACTGGAGATCTTTTCTGAATATGCAAAGATACAAATATTTATAACTAAACGAGTCACAACAGTTGTCTTCATAACAATGCGGCGAATAAAGATAATTCATTTTACATGCAAAAATGGTTTCTTCCACTTTCTGCTTTGTGTCAGGTCTGAATTTGTGAACACATCACATGAATGATTCCCATTGATTGAGCAGCTGCAATGTTTAGCAATGTTTTGAAAAAAAAAAGACTTTAAAGAGAGCTTGGAGGCACTTATGGGCCGCATGGGAACTTACCGCTGTACCCTTTTAAGCAGAGTTGAGGATCAATGGCAGAAGCTGATGAAGCCATCAATCTTGAGCACAATGAGCCAGGAATTAATGGTTGCGCCAAGAATGCATTGCAATTGGGAGCCACGCAGTGCACGTCATTGCAGCGGGATGGATGGCTGGATGAATGGAAAATGGTTTTAAAGGATTGCCCAGCATTTGTCCCTTCAGCAAAAGATAGTTAATCAAATCAAGTGGCTGGAATCTGCCGTCTCTTCATTTCCAGGGCTTGCACATAAACAACGCAGATTGAATTACCGGCCGTCTTTCCAAGTCTTGCAGCAGATCAATTATAAGCCAAGGTTTGGGGACGGCCAATTGGCTAATTTCTCTAACTCGCTTACATTTTGGACGACTTACTGAATCAAATTGCACGCTGAAAGGGAATCGCCAGGAGGGAGTTGATCAAGTTCCTTTCAACACACAATTGATGTGAAGTTTTGCCCATTATAAATATTTTCAAAATATCAACCGTGTGTCTTCACAAACATTAATTTTAATAACACATTCAGAATCATTTGAATACTTTTGTGATTTCAGAAGTGCGCATCAAACTGGCAAACTAGCAGTCTCTTGCATTAATCGGCATCTAAAAAGGGGTTGAACCAATTCGTGGGCCAATCAACAAAGAGATTTTACCATTCTGCATTGACATTAAAAGTTTGAAATCAAATAATCGCAAATGGCGTGTTTGTCACCTGGTCTTCCAGCTGGCTAAATCACAAAGGACTTTTGACTCGGCCGTCGACTGCCGTCGGTGACGGTAACCTTCTGCGGAGCAGTGAAATGGGTGACCATCCGTCTGCGCTGTATGAGAGTTGGATGGTTGTGGAAGAGCATAGCTTAGCTACGGTAGTTTCGACTAGGCCTAGTCTGAACGGTGCTAGATTTCATACCGAGGGTGAGGAACGAGGCAATGACAGCACAGGACCTAGTTTTATTAAGGACATTCCTGCTTTACTTGCAAGTCGTCACCGTTATGTTAGTCTGAGAGACATTTTAAACATTAGAAGCCTTGTCACCGACTAAATAAGCTTGCAGGTAAAACGTTCTCATCCTAATTTGAAACATAGTTGACTTTCTTTCCCCTTATGTCACTTTTGACGCTTCGTAAAAATGTTTCTGCCCAAAGAAACAAAAAACAAACAAACAAACAAAAAACTACTGTGTACTCAGTAATGAACCAACTTTGACTCAACTTTCATCACATTAGCTACAAAAAAAAAAATCTCAATTTATAAGGATCTTTTCCTGGTCAAAAGTTGTTTTTATATCACAGATTTTTAATTTTTATTTAATTTGTTTCAACAATATGCTGTCAAGGCAGAATTTCTCCTCTGTGATAATCAAGTATCGTCTTCTTATTGTAAATGAAATATAGGGGTGTGGCGTTGCGTGCTGTGGACCAATAGGATCGTCTTGTTTTCCGGGTGGGCGGGCTCGAGAGACCAGCACTTTTGCGTGCGCTCTCGCTCTCTCCGCCTCTTGTGTCTCTCTCTGCATTACGTTGAGGCAACTGTGCGCGGGGTAACAGTAAATCAGACCTCGCAGCCGGAGCAGTGAAACCGAAAACCTGTAAACCTCGTCGCTGTATTTTTGGCCGCTGACAGGAGCGACTGAGTCCCCCGCCCCCCCCTCTCCCGGCCTTGTCTTTCCTTCCTCGGCTGGAGGCACCAAGAGACTTGTCCGGCGAGAGCGACGCGGCCAAGCGTTTTTCCGCCTACTTTCTGCTCGAGCTCAATATTCGTTCACACTGGAAATGTCCGAAACCAAGCCGAATGACGAGCCCAAGTTATCGACGACGGACAGGGTGGTGAAATGTGAGTACTCCATTTGCTCTTTGACATTTTCTACCCCCCACCCCCCTTCCCCACATATACACACACACACCCCGAGACGGCTTCGCGGTCGAGATGGTTGGTTGGCCGTGGAGCTGTGGAGGAAGAAGAAGGGTGTTAGCCGAGCGGTGACAGCGGCTCCGTACGAGGAAGTGAGGCTCACTCCCACTGGGTCGACCCAGTTGGGCTCCGTATGAGCCACATTGTACCTTTTCACCGTTTTCACCAGCCACCAGTGCAGCCTGCAAGTATGACACATTGTGCACAATCATTGCAAGGGCGAGTTGGAAGCTCATTTTGCATTGCACAGCCGACCATAGTTTTTTTTTTAGGGCTTCTTTTCTCACTCTACCGTTGCTTAATATTTTTTGGGGGGCGGGGAAAGGTGGGGGATATCGACACTATTCATGCCTACCTGCGTTTGACATTCCACCTTTGCAATCTAGCAAAAGAACCCCATAAAGATCGCAATCGGTTTGGGTGCACACAAAAGCAATGCAGCCAGTTGCATGCGAGTTTTCCTGTCGCGCTGACAAGGATTACAAAGACTCCCCCCCCCCCCCCCCAACACACAGACTCACCAATCCCCATCCCCGCCCCATTTCTGCCTTGTTTTTTTAGCCTCAAACTGAGTGTGACGTGCCACACTTTGCTCCAATCTGCCCTACAAAGAAGGGCTTGTGTGTGTACAGTGGTGCCGCTCGCTTGACAAGCAGCAGATGAGATGGTGCAGAATTCTTTTTAAAAACGAAAAAGGTGGCTTCACGCTTTTTGTTGCCATTCAAGAATATGACTTTATTGTCAAAGTCAGGAAAGAGAATGAAATGGTGTGTGTTAAATTCTCTGCTAGCGTAATGTTAAGAACGATGTAGATGGGTTAGTGAATGCATCGGTTTTCGAGCGTGGTGTTATAACCTGAATGAGCAATTTAGCAAAACAAATTATGTAACAGTGCTTCCAGGCATGTTCTTTATCCTCTGCAAAGAAAGACTTTGAATAGTATGTCAAGGCACCACTTTAATTCAATTCCGACTAATTCGAGACAAACAATTATCAAACCCTTTCAATGAAATTGGATGCTTCAGTATAAAAAGCAAAAAAATGTCCCAAATACTTCCGTTGCCGAACGTTAAAGGACATACACGTAATGTCTTGCTCAGTTGGCTTTTTTTTATTTCCTTGTCAATATTTCAAAAGATCACTCCCCACGACAGTCTCCAGCAACTTGAAGGCAAATTAATAATGGATATGACAAGTATGGCTTTTGAAGAGATTAAGCAATATATTCAAGATGCTCTGACGGGACTTTTCCCTGTGTCACGCGTTTGTTTTCTGCGTTCATATTTTATCATTCTTTATTCAAATGCACTATAAATACCGACTTTGCGATTCAGAGGTACTCGGGCACTCGGAATTGTTTATTCCATTGCGAGAAGTGTGTGTTTTGCTTATTGTGACAACACAGGTGCTTTGCTTTGTGTGTACAAAGCAGCTTTCCAAAATTCCTCCAGGCTAAAGGTGCGAAGTCACTTTTTTGTCCGCCACCTATCTGGCCCTGCCGCAAGCTTTCGGTCCAACTCTGAATCCATTTGGCACTGCGCAGGAGCCTCGTGACCGAGAATGCGATAAGCAGCTTTTTGCATCATCTGTTCATTTCTTGCTTGTGTCCCTTCCTGTTTGTTGAGTTGCTCAAGATTTCTTCATCACAGTGAGGTGGAGCGCAGGAAACGGCATGACTTGAGCTTACTGGCGATGCCTTTCTGATGAGACTTTGTTATCCAACATTCTTGTTTCAGTGTCGGAGAAAATTGTCTCTTTGTCCGTGTCGCAGTCCTATAAAGACATTGTGGTTTGTAGTGCATTCAATGTGTTTCTCTGAGTGCTGAGGATATTTGTCTGTTTTTGACACTTGGAGTGGCCTTTAAAAAAAATGCAGTCAATTGGCGAGCCCAAGGCAAGGGAAAAATTTGCTCTGAATAATACCAGAAAGAAGGTAAAAAAAAAAAAAAAAACCTAAGTGAGGTCATTGTAGTTGATGAAAAGTATTGCAATTACAAAAATTGAACAATTGACTCTTTCTAATCCAGCTATTTTCATAAGGAGAACCTATTGAGTTCCAGCCACTTGAGAACATTCTGACTGATCTTTCAAGGCTCATGGAAAATGATGTTTTATGACTATGGAAACACATAAACTACAAAATGAAAGAATACGCTCTCGTCTTTCTTCACCAAAAAAGTTTGTTTCTACCGTATGCCATTGTTTTGGTAATCAGCAGTCGAGCATGGCTTGGGTTCTACCCAAATCACCTCGTTTGGACCAAAAAAACGCAGCAAACAAGGTCTTGATGCAAATGATTTTTGTTGTGGTGACACCTCAAACACCTGTACAGTCCTTTTCTTCTGTTAAATATGAACAACAACAATGAAAATGTGCTTTCAATGGCACAATAATGACAGATCATCACCAGTGTAACAATTTTACGTTTGGCAAACTACAAACTATTTGCACACCATTTGGTCGTAATAGTAGTAGTAGTAATATTTAGTAGTGTGTGTGCATGCCATGACATCTACTTCTAAGTTTAAATAAAAAAATCATCTTTTCTGTCTTTTATGATACTCTTTGCATTTGAATTAACATGACAAACACTTTGATCAACCACAAGTGGCTTGTAACGGTCAAATTTCTAAATCTCTGCGTTATCCGCATTCTGTTGATACATGTGATCTCAGTAAAGTGAGACCCAATGTTGCCATCTGCTGGCTATAGTTGTTATGTGTGTTTATTTATTAGTTTTTAACTTTCCCATTGCCAGAAATAAATAAATGAAAATTGTAGTTGACGACAGAGTTGCTCGTTAGGATTCCCGACAATATTTCCCTTCAACGGCACTCAAATAGTTGATATCTTAAATGAGCTTGTGGGGTTTTATTTTGGTATTCATCTGTAGAGAATGAATAAGATCAAACAGTCGCCTAAAACTTTGTGAAATTTATCAAAACTAACAAACGTGCTCTAAAACGAACTGAAATTGAAATAAATGCCAACACAAAATGAAAACGAACTGTAATGAAACAACCCAAACTATTATGTAAAGTGACTTTGGGGAAACGATGTTACTAGCTTAGCACAACGCGGGTCTTTCAGTCTAATGCTCTTCAACTAAAGCTGGATGCTAAACACACATTTGACAGTGGCCATGCTCCAAATGGCGGTAATGGGTGTTTTTCTGCTCAGGCGCACCGAGGACCACATCACCACAAGCAGAGACCGATCACATGTGACAATTTGACTTTTGCCGGGAGGCCACCTGACGCGTGCGCGTTTGCGCGTGCGTGCTGGAGAGCTCGCCATGCTGACGGCAGGATGTGAAAATCGGCAGCCAGCTGGAGTCATTTTTAGTCCAGAACGTAAACAAGAGCCACGTATTTGATCCTAATCATCAGCGGATGCTTCTACTTGTGTGTATACCACCGAGTGGATATTTGTATTCATTCATTCATTCATTCATTTTCCGAACCACTTTATCCTGACTTGGGTCCGGGATATTTGTATTCTGTCGTTTTGATTAAAAATATTTTGAAAATTTATTCAGAGTTGGAAGTGGACTTGGATTACTTTGGGCCGTATTCGCCATTGCGATTGATCTTCCATTCCATTCCGTCTCCTCAAGGGAATCATATCTTCACCTCACATTTTATACCCATGTTGAACCGTAAATCAGGATGAAAGCAACTTGATTTGCAATGACTGTACATCATCTCCCATGAGTTTGTTTATTACTGACATGGAAACGCTTTATTAGATACAAGCAAGCTGCCTTTCAAATCAATCCGACTTTGGATTTGACACTTCCTGTCATACCATCATTGGCAGCGCTTAAGTGGGCTGGTATGCTGGTACAGAGTACAACCGCTTCTCACTTTTACCCTTTAGCGTACCGGGACTTCACAGTACGCTCTCAAGTTCTCCTTTGCACTCTATCATGCTCAGGATTCGGTTGACCCACCCAAAAAACAAAATCTGCCTCGCCTATCAGTTTATTTGGTGTGTGTGTGTGCTGTCGTTTTAAACATGTCAAAGAAGCTGCAAGCACACTCATAACGTCACACGTCAACAACGCAATTGCGGATTTCAAAATAAAAGTTTACCAAGCAACACATTAAAACCAATGCAATGGCATTAGAAGCTTTTACGTTGAAGTTGGCCCATTGTGGTGGGGTGACGTCAAGGTTTGACTCCGCCTTACACTAAGAAACCGCCATCGTAAGATAACGGCACAAGTCTCCATCCTTTGCGGCTCGCCGCTTAACTTTGATGTCTCGCGATGCGCACGAGATATGAGGTGCATTCAAATGCGGTCGGACATTTCCCACTCAGGCTTGGTCGATACATACGGGGTTGAGAAAGTAATGTAAAAATATATTTAATAATATCAAATAAAATTCCGGGAGGTGGGGTTTTAACTGGAGCTACACAAATTTTTCATGGGGCTTTAGCACCTCCTCGCCCTGGTGCAGCACCATCCTTGGTCCCGTCACGGTGTTGTGAAGGTGCATCCTTCGAACCTTTGACGCTCATTAGATTAAGAATTAGGCTCTGTTGTGGATTTAGGGCACGGCAAAGCGACGGATTTGGCCAGATTAAGCTCCATATAGGGGGATAACGGCGGCTCTGCTCGGAGGTTGTAATCTGACTCTGTGGATGACGCCTGCTAATTCACGTGAACAAATGGACGCGTGGTGCTTAAAAAGATGAAGGAGCAGCTTGTGAAGTGACGAGATGAAGTTTGAATGGCCGCTCTTGTGCCCGTTTTGACATCGCCGATTGTTTTCTCTGCAGATGCAAAGCATTCAGCGGCTTTCATCTCGTGGCCGCGAGACATCAATTTACCTCGCTTTTTTGGGTGGGGGAGGGGGAGCATTGGCGATTGACAAAAAAAAAAAATAATCATTTGGAAGGGAAACAATATTGGCGTGTTACTAGATGCCTCGGTCGTGGATTCCGTGCGTTAATAGAGACTGTGTGTGTACACTATGCAGAAGTCTACTTTTAGACAAGTTGGCAGTGCGGGGGAGAAGAGGCTAACCCAGTCAGCTGCCAGCTAGCGGGTTCGAGTGGTGGTTGTAAATCTGTTTCCTCACCCTTACGGAGCAGGCACTGGGATAACGCGCTTGTGTGGATGGATCTGTGTACGTGCACTTTGTTCAGTGGCATAACACGCTTGGATCATGTCTCAGCTCAATCAGTATTCAGGAATTGACGTTTGATTGTTAAAATAATAGTCCATTTAGTGACAAACAA